TGAAAGGATTCAGAGGACCCGCATGGACTCGCCGAGTCGCCTTTGTGCACTCGACGAGTCGGGTCAAAGTTGATCGTTGACTTTCGTTGACTTTAGGGTTCTGGTCAAGACTAATTTAGGAGAGTTCAGGGAAGGGTAGAATGGCCTTCTACCCAGTCTGTAGAGATGAGATCATGAGAGAGTATTGATCGGGAATGTTATTTGATTAATAGGAGGAGGCTAGGTCGGGACGTTGAGCACGAGAGTCTATCCGACTTCATTGAGGTGAGTCTTCTCACTATATATATTACGTAGAGTGGTATCTATGTGTAGATCGGAGGGTCTTGTATGCTATGTGTATGTATGAGATTATGTGCATTGTGTTATATGTATGCTATGTGTTGTATAGACCGGACCGGAGGGTCCAACGATATAGAACGGACCGAAGGGTCCAACGATACAGACCGGACCAAAGGGTCCAACGAGCTATGACCGGACCAGAGGGTCCAACGAGCTACGGGACTGGAGGGTCCCGCTGAGACACATCGGACCAGAGGGTCGTATTGTAGCCTCGAGTGGCGTATGTGTTGCATGTGGTATTTGGGGAACTCACTAAGCATTTATGCTTACAGTTGTTGTGTGATGTGTTTCAGGTTCTAGCGAGGATCGCGGGAAGGCGCCGACATGATCCGTACACACTTATGGAGTTATGATATTGAGATCTTGGGACATGTTTTGTTATGTTACAGTGGACACATTATGTTTTTATGATTACTGTGTGAATGAAAGTATGTTTTAAAATGAAAAATTGTTTTGAAAAATTACGTCGTTACAGAAAACGAGTAAACCCTACCCGACTCGTCGAGGCAACCAAGGGACTCGATGAGTTCCTTCAGTCTTCTCCAAGTTCAGCCTTTTCCAGTGGGATCTAAGGTCCCAAACTTCAGATCCAACTTCTCCTAGTGCAGATACCACGTAAAGTTGCAAACTTTACGTGCATGCAAGGTCCTCCAAGGCTAAATCTCCACAACTAGGCTTCATACAAGGTTCTTGTGCATGGAAAGAGGCTAAACTGCATAAAGGGAGCAACTTGATGCCATTGGGGACCTAAAGAGGTCCAGATCTAGAACCATATCCTTGTGATAAGTCCAGATTCAAGCTTGACTCCATTTTGCCCCAAAAATGGTCATTCACTTCCAAGAAAAGAGATCTAAACAACCAGAGGTCAAGGTCACGACTTTATACCTTAGTATGATGGCCAATATGAAGTAGATGTTGGATCTACTGTTCCTCTCCTGTTTCCTTCTTCTCCAAGCTCCAAAATCCTTCACAAATACTCCAAAATTGCTCACAAAGGCTGTTTCTCTCACTCAAGAGGGGTTCACGACCGAAAACTATTTTCTCTGGGTAGAAAGGTGCTAAGGGAGGCCACAAGGGGCAGGTTATGTTCTTTAAATAGGGTGCAAACCCTAAAAATTAAGGTTTCTCTTTACAGCTCCTACTCGTCGAGTTAGCCTTCCGATTCGTCGAGTATGTGTCGATCCTGCGTCCATAAAATTTCTCTACTCGACGAGTTGGACTCCCAACTCGCCGAGTCCATGCATAAAACCTAAAAAATTTAGATCATTTAAGTAATACCTGGAACAGGTGTTATATATTGAACATAAATGACATAATGAAAGGTGTGGAGATTTTGGGAGTCGATAGTGAAATTTTCATCCCGAGATTTTTGGATAAAAAAAACATATAAGTTTTTCCTTATATTAGTTCCTTAATCTTGCAATATTATTCCAGACCCCCACTGCTTGTTTGCTCACCAGATAAGAGGTGGGATGATTATTTAGATTATGAATGTTAGTTATTACATTAGACCAAAGACTCTCAAATTTGTTTCTTAGTCTCCACCACCATTTGGTAAGTAAAACAATATTTTGGGCTTTTAAAGTACCGACCCCTAGACCGCCAACCTTTTTGTCTGCCACTACTTTTGACCATTCAACACAATGGATCTTGTTTTTCTCATCAGCCCCACCCCATAAGAATCTGCGTCTCAAACTTTCGAGCATATCCAACGTTCCTTATGGTGCTTTAAATAAAGAAAAATAGTATGTAGGCAAGCTCCACAATACTAATTAATCAGTGTCAAGCGGCACCCGAATGACAATGTAGCTGCTTTCCAGTTTGATAATTTCGATTGAAAATTATCCACAATGGGTTTCCAATTGTTTCCAAAGGGAAAAGAGCTTTTCGAGAAGTCAAGAATTTGTGCCATGTTATGGAGTTCATAGTCTGTGGTGCAGATTCCGAAAAGTCTTGACTTGTGAAAGTTTACTTTAAGACCAGAGGAGATTTCAAAACATTTTAGGATACGCGATAAATTTTTTATGCTGCCTCTGTCCCATTTACCGGTAAAAATGGCATTTACCCGTAAAAACGGCATCATCCGCATAGAAAAAGTGGGAGATTATTGGTCCGCCTCATGGTAATTTGATCCCATGGATTAGAAGTTTATCTGTTGCGTCTTGGATTGCTACAAGAAGTCCCTCCATTGCGAGGATGAATAAAAACGGAGAGAGAGGGTCTCTTTGTCTAACACCCCTCTTGATTGGAAATTATTATTCTCTTTGGTCCCAAATCATAAGTCCGAAATTATGTTTTGGAAACACAAATGGTGTGGGAATGTAACATTGCAAAACAGATTCCTTCACCTTTATCAGTTGGAACCAGTCATACAATGATTGCTCATAGACCGTTTTTGCACTGAAGGTTTCTCATGGCAATGGAGGTCCGACCTACTTGATGAAGTTGCGATGGTTGAACTACATGAATTCTACTCCTTGTTCGTATCTAATATGTCTCCTCCATCCTTAAATATGGGATTCAGGTTCAATTTAAACGAAAATGACACATACTTGGTGAGCACCCTAAGGACCTTAGTGGACTCAAAAGCTAATCAGGTGGTTGGTCAAAAGATTTGTTGGTCAAAACTTATTCCTCTAAAAGTAAAATCTTTCGTTTGGAGGGCAACAATAGATAGAATTCCTGTTGCACAATCGCTCGGTATCAGGGGTATTTCAGTCAAAAACGCAAACTGTCAGTTATGTGGGATGTACTGATTCAGTGAGTCACCTTCTGGTTGAATGTGACTTCTCCAAGGAGGTATGGTATTGGATATTAAAATGGTGTGGGATCAACAATATTCAAGCCAATACATTGAACAAGTTTATTGATTACGCTGCATCATGGGGGAATTGTCCTAAAAAGCGAGTTACTTTGAATTCAATCTTGTACTCCACATTTTGGAACATATGGTTCGCGAGAAATGAAAAGATTTTTAGCAAGAGAGGCGTTTCACCTGCAAAAATCGTTGACTCTATATGGTCAAAAAATAAGGGGAACTGGTTGGGTAAATGAGTGGATTGGAGTTGCTGCCCTTTTTAGTTCAATGTTATTTCTCTTGTGACAAGATTTTGTTTTTCTGTTGTATGTATTCCCCTCCAATTTCATAGTTTCTTGCTGTGAAATTGGGTTTCATTAATATATTTGTAGTTTCTAAAATGTTCTCTAATTAACGGGAATAATCATGTTTATATTAAATAACTAAAAGGGTAAATAAGTAATTTAATGTATATGAAATAGGCTGAGAAAATGCCATGTCACAATCAATAGACTTTTTTATTAGAGTAGATTTTATTTTAGATAGAACGATCATGAGGTTTTAGATATTTTTGGATGGTTTGACAAAAATAACAGATAGTTGAAAGTTGAAAATGATAGTTATATGTTTTAAGTGTAATTTTAAGTTGGAAATGATGGGTATGTACATGCGTGCATGCGGTTTTTTACTTAAGTTTTTATGTTATTTAACCTTTAATATTATTTTTTTTCCAAAAAAAAATCAACATTATATGTTAAACAAATGTGAAAATGATAGTTATATGTTTTAAGTGTATTAAGGTATCTAAAAAGTCAATTCTTTAAATCATAGGAACATGGGATTGTTAATGGAAAGGTACCCTAAAGGATAACATTTGGCTTTCTATAATATGGTGGCCATAACAACTCATTTCTCAATTATTGGGCTTTTAGAGCTTTACAAGTCTCCACCACCTAGGCACCTCTTTACGTATTAATAATGTTCAAATCATCTTTTCAAGTCCTAACATCTCACATCTTTATATTAATTTACATAAAGCCTTCATATAAACACTTTTAGCTAATATCTCATTTTAGTTGTGTCGTAGATTTTTAATTTTAACGTTTTAGATTTTCTAATACTTTATTTAATTGTAGTTTAAATTCTATTTATTTTTAGACTACTTTGAAAATCTAATTGAGATCTAGTTAACGACATATTGTATATAAATTTGTTTTTACTTCAATTTTGTATATGTAACAAGCTAGCAATTATAGAAACTGATCACAATAATTAAGGGCATTAAATGAATAAAATGGTCAAAAACAAAAATAAATTTGTTACCTTCACTATCCCTAATTAATTATTTTGTGTCTTATTTTAATTTGTATTAAATTTGATATATTTAAAATAAATAAACATCCACTAAAAATTTACATATCTGAATGGCTATTTGACCTGAGAGTACAACCCATCAATGCACATTTAAGATACCCGTCCAGCAAAAAGGGCAATTTTGTCATTTCACATTCAACGGTCTTTTCACAAAACCAAGACGTACCTCCATTGATGATCTTGAAAACAGCATTCCTCAAACACCCTTGTTTAATGTTCGATGAATTTACTCATAAAAAATTGAAAAATTATATTGCAATCAATTTGCAGTTTTTTATTCAAGGGAAAACGGTCTTCCAACAAACCCACCATCATCATCATAATTTGGTTTTTCGTGATCTCTACTTCTTCAACCATAAGCGAAAGCTTCATCTCAACCAAATTGGAGAACGAACACCCATCTAATCTGAAATTTTCATGGTCATTTAAATATCTTATTGATGTTCAACAATGGTGGAGCTTCATAGATCCACCAAGAACAGGAAGGGATTCTACGTGAGGATGAAGTTCTTTCGAACCAGAAATTCGAAACCAGAAAAACCCTTTTGCTTCAGATACTTCAAATGGCTTCTCTGGTTTTCCCTCTCGTTTTACTTCTTCGCTAAGTTTCTCAACAATCATGAACCCAGTACGAATTCGTTGAAAAAAACGATAATCTCTCACTCTCAATCCAATGTTGTTTCTCGTGCCCTTTCCGAATCAGTTCCCCAACAACCCAGAATTAATCAAGGTTTGCATCGGATAATTTAATTAATAAGTTTTTGAGGGTTGATTTGATTCGATTTGATAAAATTTAATTCGATTTGCAGGTTTGTTGAAGGATTTGAAGGTGTATGTATACGAATTACCCTCGAAATACAACAGCGATTGGCTATCAAACAAACGGTGTAACAATCATTTATTTGCTTCGGAGGTGGCGATTCATAAAGCGTTGATGAAAAGCGATGTTCGGACGTTTGACCCATCGGAGGCTGACTTCTTCTTCGTCCCTGTTTACGTTTCCTGCAACTTCAGCACCGTTAATGGATTTCCCGCCATCGGACACGCTCGTGCTCTTTTATCCTCCGCCGTTGAGCTCATCTCATCGGAGCTACCATTCTGGAAACGAAGCAATGGATCCGACCATGTCTTCGTTGCCTCACACGATTATGGAGCTTGTTTCCATGCCATGGTAACATTACAAAATGCACTGCTTCCACAATTTCATTTGCAAAATTTTTGTTTAATAACAGATTGCTGAATGTTCGGTTTTTGTCTGAAAATCAGGAGGATCGAGCTATGGCTGACGGGATACCCGATTTCATGAAGAATTCGATCATTTTACAGACGTTCGGCGTTAAATACAAGCATCCATGTCAAGACGTCGAGAATATCGTTATCCCACCTTACATCTCGCCGGAAGATGTACAGTCAACGCTGTCAAAGTCGCCGATAGAAGGTCGTCGAGATATTTTCGTGTTTTTCCGAGGGAAAATGGAAGTTCATCCAAAGAATGTCAGTGGACGTTACTACAGCAAGTAATTAATACCAAACTCCATTTCCAATCGATTCAACTTTTTACGTTATGTTAATGAAATTTGATGTAACAGTTGTTCAAAATTGATTTGCAGGCGTGTGAGGACGGAGATACTCCGGAAATACGGAAATGATCGGAGGTTTTACTTGAAGAGACACCGGTTTGCTGGATATCAATCGGAAATCGTTCGATCGGTGTTTTGTTTATGCCCATTAGGATGGGCACCATGGAGTCCCCGGTTAGTGGAATCGGTGGCGTTAGGTTGCGTTCCGGTGATCATAGCCGACGGCATCCGTCTGCCGTATGAAACCACCGTGCCGTGGTCGGAGATATCTTTAACGGTGAGGGAGAAAGACGTCGCGAAACTTGGCGCCGTACTTGACAACGTGGCGGCGACAAACCTCTCGGCGATCCAGCGAAACTTGTGGGACCCACAACTCCGGCGGGCCCTTCTTTTCCACGACGACATGGAAATCGGTGATGCGACATGGGAGGTCCTTGTTGAGTTATCCATGAAACTTGGTAGGTCGTACCGGAGGTCGAGGCTTTCCAGCGAATAAAAGGTTGACACGTGGTGAGATTTTGATAGAAAAAAGTCGTATGCCAGCTCATTTTGTTCTGTTCCAACGTGGCATTGATATGTGGGGCCAGGTCTGACCCGGTTGGTGAGTTGGCAAGTTGAAAAAGTGGGCTGGATTAAGATGTAGTGGTCCTCATGGTTCATAATGTAGACCTACCTGTCATTGATAGGTTAGGTTATTATCGCTCTGTGGATACTTTGGGTATTAGATATATACACTTAGGCCCCTGTAAAATAGAAATCGGCCTTTTTGAGATATGAATTGAACATGAAATATAGAGAATTTAGTTGATATATCTTAAAGCTTTTGATAAGTTATTTACAATTTTTATTACTTTATTTAATTTATTATGTAATGTAAAGTAAAAATAAGTTTAAAATAATATTTTTTATCAATATAATCAACCACTTATATTTATTAAATTTGTTTTTTTTTGAATTTTGGGTTTATAAAATTATTATTTTCATATAATAATACTTTCTTTACTTTATTAATTATATTTAATCAAATCTTAATTTTTACCTGATTAATTTAATTTATTTTAATCTTTAGTATTATATATTAAATATGTAAAGGACATAATGCTTTTTTTTTGATGTTATAACTATGTATGTAGTAATTTAGTATTTTTTTTTTATTAATTTTCAAAGAGAAATCCAACGGAATTTAATATATTTACTTTATTAAATGTTATTATCAAGTGATTTCTTTTTAAGAGTATCATGTGAAGTGATTTATTTTTAAGACTATCAAGAGTTTGAAAATGACAAATCAGATGTGAAAAATATAAGATTTTTTTAAGTTTATAAAAAGTGTAATGTGTAATGATTGAAGATGATTTATGGCAATAAGGTTTTTATAAATAAAATTATGAAAAATATGATGTGAAATAGAAAAATTGTAAAAGTGGTCAATATGGATATATAAACGTCATCCATTTCTCCGTCCCAAAATCATAGTCCATCTTTCCTATTTGGTTTATTCTAAAATAATAGTCAACTTTTAAAAATAAATAATATTTCATCAAAATATCCCTAATTATTACTTAACAAACTAAGCATTTAATGGAACATTTAATGTAAAGTAAGGACACAATTGTCATTTTATTATACAAAGTTAGTGGTAATTAATGATTCCTTAATCTGTATATTTTTTGTTTTTTGTATGTAGACAATAATTTTAAGAGAGAGGAAGTATCTTGGTTGAGATTTAAACTTAAATAATTTTAAGAGGGAGGAAGTATCTTGGTTGAGATTTAAACTTAAATCATTCAATCAATTACATGTCATCCTCCACATATATCTCTATATTGTGTTTTTGGTAAATGGTGGGAACCATAGGTGGCAAAGTTGATACATGTGAAATTTATAAGGGCTGTATTGTAATAATGTATGTGTAAGTGTAATATGGATGGCGGGAAAAAGGTGGCAAAGTTGTAAATGTTTGTAAAACAAAGGGGTTGTTGTTTTGGAAAACGGCGAATAGCATGTGACTGTGGGGTTAAAACTGGAAAAGAGTGTGTCAGAAGTTATAAATAATTGTTTCCAACGGTCACGGCTTCTTGGTGTTTGGATTAAATGCTAACGTACTGAAAACAATTGTTTTCATTTTTTTTAGTTATCCATATTTTTCTTAATTTAATGAAAAGTTTTTTATTCGATGTTTGATTTCTTCTTAGGATACTCTTCAAGTTTGAGTCACACCAGTCTCAAGGATTATAAAATATTTCTCTTGTGTTAATATAATCGCTTATATAAATTTTATGCTACGATACTTTTCCTGTAGCTTATATGCTTGCTAAATCATGTAATTCGGCTATGAAATAAGAACTTAGTACATACACAAAGATATGTATTATTTAAAGAATTATTTTATCTGTTTTCATGAATATTATGACAAGATATTTAGATTTTTTGTAAACATGATTCGATGTGAATGGAGATTTGACTTGACAGTGGATGCATGGGTATAATAAGCACAATATTAATATTAGTTTTTCTGTCATTGATCTATACCAACCTAAAACACAATGTTATGATTCGGAGATATTCTAAAATAATTTTGTTTGTGAAAAGAATATGTTACATTCATATGAAATCAAATAGCGTTTTGGGTGACGTCTCTAATATTCCATTTATTGTCCAATGTTCGACGTCTCTTTTTGTCCAATGTTCAATACCTTTGAACTTCAGTTACTTAACTCAGATTTTGCTAGTATAATATAACAAAATAACCATTTATTATTAATGACGATGTATTTTAAAAAAAGTTTATAAATTTGACATACATAATAGTTGGTTTATAAGAAAAAGTCAATAGTTTCACTTAAAAAAATATAGTGGAACCAACATTTTGATATTATTAAGTTCGTTCGGATCTCAATGAAAGTTTGTGACTTTTAGCAACCTATCTTTAAATGCATGTTCTTGGACTTGTCATTTGGTAAGTTAAAATCCCCCATTTCTAGAAAAACCCCAACCAATCACTTGATCAAATTGTTGCAAAGCATTTATTAACATATAATTGGGCCAGTTATAAAAAACAGTAAAAAACAATATATTTTTATTATTTTACTAAACTCATTAAATATAATCTTTTTATAAAATAAAATTATACAATAGCAATCAACTTTACGTTTTATTGGATTATTGTTTTATTCCATACATAACTTACATAATACTCATCCATTAGCCGGAATGATCTATACTCTTAAAGAATTTGTGGATTTTAGTCAACCTTTGTCAACCATTTTTGCCTTTTCATTTAATAAAACATCATTAATGTACATATCTAATAAATTTTGCTATATTGCATGATAATCTTTACCAGTTTGGAGTAAGCTTTCAAACCATCTTTCCTATGTTGAATTGTCTTTTTATATTCAATTTAATTTCCCTTTGTTTTTTTCCCCTAAAAACCCGTACATTCATCTTCTTATCTTCTGAAAAAGATGAGAGAGCATGTATATTATTTCCATACGGGCAAGTTGCATAAAAAGGGAACATATATAATTTAGTCTTTTTTATCATTTTAGGTAGCATATTAATTTTAGGCGAGATTAGGGACCAAATTTTCAAGAAAACTTGATTTAAGGTAATTTGACTTGATAATCCAGTTACACTTTTTTGCAAATTTCTATTTCCATTTCGAAGATTTTTATAATATGTCAATCCAATCATGTTTTTAACCTCCAATTTCCAATAAGAGTTGGCTGCATCCATAGATTCTTAAAACAAAAAATAATGATTGCCACATCTGTGCATATTGTGGTCCAGTTAAAAAGTTCTTAACTTTTGCTCCCCATGAATTTGCTCTTCCACTAATTTCCCACTTTTATTCCAACTCCTGAATTAAGTCAATATGAGATTCAAATCCAAATCCAAAACCAACCCATCTAAAAGAACGATCTTTAGGACTTGCATCTAATATAGTTTGAAATCTGAAATCAAAATTAACTCATTTTAGTAACATGGTCAAACATAAGAGGGGCTAAAAAGAAAATAAATCAGTAAAGGGTGATGCTAAGAAAACACTCCTTAGACACACCATTTACCATTTTATAAAAAGTCAACCTATAATTAACTACTTATAATCAGTTTTTTCGGAAAACAATATGATTTCAACCAATAAAAATATTTCAAAATTTAATTAAGATGTCTATATGGTAAAATGGGGTGTCACGTGGTACAAATTCTATACAGAATGTGAAATGGGTTATGTAGCATGCCACGTGATA